TCTCTCTCTCACATCATTTATACACGGTCTCCGAGCGGTTCAATGACCGTGCCAAAACTCTGCCACGTGGAGACAAATCACTGGCCTCTGCCTTTGACTGCAAACAAAACAGAGGCAAAAGAGAGAGACAATGCCCTGTATCCTTATGAGGCTGGGCATCTTCTGTTTGACTCGAATCCTCTTTTCCCCTTTTCCTCTGTTTTCCTCCACCTTTTGTTTTCCATTTTCTTCAGCCGTTGTACTAATTTGCAAGCAAAGATCTCTATAAGTTCAAACAACCCGTCGTTCTTTGGTTTCTCGACTGAGTCGGGTGGCGTGTCGTCGGCGGTAAATGGGCGTGGAACTAATGATGGGATTGGTTGACAGTTTTGCAGCGAGGATGGAGGAGAATGCGGTGAAGGAGGCGGCCTCCGCCGGAATCCAGAGCGTCGAGAAGTTCATTAGCCTGATTTCGGAACACCACCAATCAACGTCGTCGAACTCGGAAGCTGGTACGGAGTATAAAGCCGTGGCGGACATGGCCGTGACCAAGTTCAGAAAGGTCATTTCGTTGTTGGACAAAGGATGTACCGGCCACGCCCGGTTTCGGAAAGCTCCGGTGCCTCTATCTCCGCCTCCCCCGCCGCTGGTGCCTCCGAAGACGATAACCCAAATTCTGAGACCTTCAATTTCAGAACCCCATGATCAAAAAACAGAGCAACCCTCTGTTTTCAGAACAGAACAATCTTCTGCCTTTAAGGTTTATTGTCCGAAGCCGGTGGTTCGCCTGCCGCCGCTGCCGCAAAATCCCCATTTGAAAACCAGTCCGGTTGTGCTGACAAAAGATATTGGGTGCTCTGAGAGAAAGATGGATTCTGCTGCTGCCGCCACCATCAACTTCTCGCCTTTGGCGCCCATTTCTGCCGCGAATTCGTTCATTTCGTCTTTAACTACTGGGGATCCCGCTGAGCAATCGATCTCTTCTGGGTTTCAATTTACAAATATGTCACAGTCGTCTTCGGGTAGGCCGCCTCTGTCTTCGTCGTCGTTGAAGAGGAAGTGCAGCTCCGTCGACAATGTTTCTCGTCTCCGGTGCGGATCTACTACCGGGCGCTGCCACTGCTCTAAGAAAAGGTTGGTCAGTGTTAAAATTTCCATCAACCATCATGATTTTTAACATGGTTTTGGTTCAGAATTGTGTATTTTTATTAACTTGAATTGGTTAATTGGATTGAGCAGGAAATCTAAAGTGAAAAGAGTGATTAGGGTTCCTGCAATTAGCATGAAACTGGCTGATATTCCACCTGATGATTATTCTTGGAGAAAGTACGGTCAAAAACCCATCAAGGGTTCCCCTCATCCAAGGTATTATTTCTTTCATTATTCATTAATTCATTTTGTTTTTATTGAATTATTGTTTGATTGTACATAAATTCACTGATGAATTTCAGAGCACATGATACTGCTGAATTTAATCGGCCTAAACATTAAGTCACATCGTTCAACTAACGTCTATCATCTTTAAAATCTTTGCGTACATTGAACATTGTTTTCTCTCTTGTGAGTCAATCGATTCATTAACATAGACACCCTAAATTCTAAGCTACAGTTCGTCGTCCGACTAATGCCTTTCACTTTTAGAATCTTTGCATGGATGGAACATTGTTTTCTCTCATGTGAGTCAATCGATTCAGTAACGTAGCCGCATTGTATTCTGAATGTGTGGTTGCTTTTGTCCCAATGCAGAGGGTATTACAAGTGTAGCAGCCAGAGAGGTTGCCTTGCACGCAAGCACGTGGAGCGCGCTGTAGACGATCCCACCATGCTGATCGTGACCTACGAAGGCGATCACAATCACTCCCTCGGCGTCACCGATCCAACGGCCACCCTCGTCCTCGAATCCTCTTAAAAGTCAACTCATCCAACGGCCCAAAATCTTCTTCTTTTATTAAAAAAATTCGAATTAAAAGAAGAACAAAGAAAATCATGATTTTGTGCTGCAAAATCGTCAACGATCATGCTTTTCACCGTCTCCAAGAGGATTAGTGGGTACCCCAATACAAAATTAGATTCGTCGTTTTCCTTTTCTTTTAGTTTTTTGGGTTTATTTTTTCATTATTTTTATAATTTTCATCAGAAATGAAATATAAAATAGGATTAGGATTTGGTGGGAAGTCAATGATGCTAACTAGCGGGTTTTGTTTAATTTTAGTTTACTTAATTATGTTCCTAAATACTTGTTAAGTTGTTATTAGGGTTGTTTAATATATGATGGTGGTGGATTTTGATGAGGATGCCCACTTTTAATTGTTCCAATTCCCACTATATGTATGACTTCATTATTCACCTTTTTATTTTATTTTATTTAAAATATTGAATGTTAGACAATGCAGGCACATTTGAGTAGTTTTGCTTTTGTTTACATGTTGAACATAATTTAGTAGTGAGAGTATCACGTAAAATTGACACATGAGACAACACATCTACATATAATATAATTGGGTTTGACGCACACGTATTTAATTATTTTGTGGTCAGATTGATGCCTTGTGGCCAAACCCTGAACGAACACCTTCTCATACTAGCATTGGCTATAATTAGTTTTTTATTTTTTTGTTTTGGACAAATTGAAAATTCATTACCAAGGCAAAGCTAAGAGTACACTGAAAACCCACGATGTGGCAAACAAGAAGACATAAATAAAGTTAATAAACCATACATATAAAGGAGGTGAAGGGGGGATACATGAAGAGGGACACTACAACAATTGCAAAGGCGCCACCCCGCCTACTCCACACAAGTCTTAGTTCGAAGGGGTACAAGGCAAACCATCCTTTTTGAGAATGTGAACCAACGATGGGAGTCTATAGACCCAAATATAAACACTCATCTTTGAAAATTTAAGCGACGCCACCTTATCCACAACCATATTAGTTGATATAGGCACTCAAGACCAACGACAGACTTGGAAAGTCAATGTAATTAGTTTTGTTGGAGAATTTCGAAATGTTCTTGTGGTAGGACTTGTTAGAAGGTCATGAATGATCCGCTGAAATTGGTAAGAATCTGGCAAAGTCAATGTGGTCGGTTGGGGGTGGATTGGTTGGTTGTCATTTAGTGTCTTCCCAACGCTAATTGTTCAATGAAGAATAAACTTTGCACACATTTGAAGTCTTTCCAGTTCAAAATGTGGAGAGAAGAACGATACATTTCATGCAAGGTCTGCATCCGCCAATGTAACCATAACACAAGGCTACATACCACGTGCTATAATACAAGTGAAGGATGCTGAAAAATATGTCTTTCATTTATATTACGACGTGTGATGCTTTAGGTACCTGAAAAGATCTCTCCTAACCGATTGTTGAAGATTCAAACCAATCCGGCTAAGTAGACCTATTTGATCCAATTTAATTGGGTTGGATCATTTGGTAATTAGATTAGATCACTAAATTCCAAAACTGAGATGATTAGTCTTCTTACGGCTCGTTTGTAAGTGTTTTTAAAATGACTTAAAGCGCTTTTGGTTGTTTATGGAACTAATTCTTAATAAAAATTCAAGTGAATCTTGAAAAAACACTTGAAGTACTTCCTAGAAGAAGCACATAGAAAGCACTTCAAGTGCTTTTAGAACTCAAATTTTTTCTCTAAAAACGATTTCAGTTATTTTAAAAACACTTCAAAATAAGTCCTTAATCAGTGTCACGTGGCATATTTTCTCCTCATTTTCCCTCCTCTTTTGGGTTTTTGGTCATACAAACATTTTGCTGGATGGCCCAGAACAAGCCCAGAAGAATATTGGGCCTAGTATTGAAGATCCAAGTCTAAACCCAGAGTGAGTTCTTCATCTAAAGGTGGCAATGAATAAATAAACAAAAATTCCTGTCTATTTCCATCAAGATTTCAAAAGTTTGAAAACAAGCCGCTCTTATTATTGACAAAATGATGAATTAGCCCCCGCTGGCGTCGGTAGGTCAACTGTAACATCAGTGGATTTATAAGCCTGCTCATGCCCCCACAAAACCGACAAAATATTTGTTGTAATTGAGGATTCACTGCACTCAATTGTTTTTAAAAGTTATAATAATTACAACTATTGGATTAAATTTAAACGGTTCAAATGGACTAGTCAGGAGGATTCTCATTCTGAGCTCAGGAGAGGATCCTCCTCCTTTATAAACCTGCTCATGAACCCACAAAACTGACAAAATATCTGTTGTAATTGAGGATTCACCGCACTCAATCTCGCTCGTCACGTGATTTGTTACCCACAAGAAAAAAAAACAGTGAAAGAATCAAAACCCAGTTGTTCATTTAGACTTAAATATTAACAATGAACATTTTGGAGGTCCACTGACATTGACTTGTTAAGCATCTGCTTTGGCTTTATTCTGTATCTTTTTTACTGCAGTGGACTGAGGGTCCGGGAAGATCAAAATCCTTGCCATGTTTTCATGTTTGTTCAAAACTTTAAGATAAAGTCTGCAGAGTTAAAATAATGGACGAGATTTTTTTAATGTGCTCGAAATTCAATATAGAAGTTTGAAACTTTGAAGAAATTGACGAGAGATTTTTCAATGTGTTCGGAATATATGACGGTATGCTATGTGTTATTATACAAGTAGAGGAACACTTGAAAAAACTTCCTTCAACTGTATAATGACATAAGGCGTATGTGATTGTGTTCCAAACACACTAAAAAATCTCTGGAAATTGACAAGATAAATAAACGTGTGAGACTTACCAAATAAAAGGAAATCTCAAGTGTTGAACTAGTGCTTCATAGATCCACCCAATCATGAATCATTCACTTCTTTTTTGCTTCTTACCCAATTTTCAAATTATAATATAAATACATTAAATTATGTTTTATAAAAACCACCGTCAGCATTACGATATAGTAATAATTTTATGTACTTATAAATAAGAGGTTTTTCACTTAATTTTCTAAGAAGACAATTTAGATACTATTTTTTAACTGAGAAATTGTATTATTTAGCCTAAATTCACAACCCATAACATACCCTAAAAAATATGAGTTATGAAAAAGTGTGTATAATTTGGCATTAAAACCCCTGCAGTGAGGGAGTGTCTTCTTCCATTTGATCTAGCCTAAGCAAATTATAGCCTTTTCTTCTCTGAGGAAAGGATGAGAAGCTCTACTTTCATCAAAGCTCTAGTTTTATTCTCAACCTTCTTTTTTCTTCTAGCTTATCTCTCAATTGCCGGCTGTGTGGCGGTGACATTTTCGTTGCATGAAAGTTCTTCTCCTGCAACATATTACTCCAACAAAGAAACCCTCAAGTTCGTTTTAGTTGGCCACCGCAAAAGAGTCAACGGAGACAAAAGCCACCGACTACCACCACCACCACCACCACCACCACCACCACCACCACCTCCACCTCCACCTCCACCTCCACCACCACCACCTCCACCTCCACCTCCACCTTCACCACCATCACCATCACCACCACCACCATCACCACCATCACCACCATCACCATCACCACCATCACCACCACCACCACCACCACCACCTCCACCTCCACCTCCACCACCACCACCACCACCACCACCTCCACCTCCACCTCCACCTTCACCACCATCACCACCACCACCACCACCACCACCACCACCACCATCACCACCACCACCACCACCTCCACCTCCACCTCCACCTCCACCTCCACCACCACCACCGCCACCGCCACCGCAAGCACCTCCTACAAATTTCCCAGACACGCAAGAACTTGTATTTGCAGATCAAAGGCTCAAACTAGTCTACCCAATTATCCAAAACTTCAAGTCCCTCATCACCCCAGATCCTCTAAACATCACCAAAACTTGGGTAGGCTCCGACATTTGCAGCTACAGAGGCTTCTACTGTGACAGCCCTCCGAACAACAGCTCCGCGTTTGCCCTCGCCTCGATAAACTTTAACGGATTCCAACTTGGGGCCTCTTCTCTCAATGGGTTCCTCTACCAGCTCCCGGACATTGCCCTCTTCCATGCAAACTCCAACAACTTTTCCGGCACCGTCTCCTCCGCCATTGCCAACCTCCCCTCTTCCATGCTAAGGTTCAATTTCTTCACTGGGACCGTCCCGCCACAAATTTTCACTCAAGAACTCGACGCCCTCTTTTTAAACAACAACGATTTCATGCAAAATCTTCCCGACAATCTCGGCACCTCTCAAATTCTCCTCCTCACCTTAGCAAACAACAGATTCACAGGTTCGATTCCATCGGGCATTTCCAAAGCTTTCGCTGCTCTGACTGAGGTTCTACCCCTAAACAACCAGCTCACAGGATGCTTGCCTTATGAGATAGGGTTGCTAAAAGAGGCCGTATTTTTTGACGCTGGAAACAATCAGTTAACCGGGCCATTACCGTTCTCATTGGCCTGCCTCGAAAACGTGGAGCAGCTGAATTTTGCTGGGAATTTGTTGCATGGCACGGTGCCTGAGGTGGTATGTCATGAGCTGCAGAATTTGGCAAACTTTTCGCTGTCCGATAATTATTTCACAAATGTTGGTCCTGTTTGTAGAAGCTTGATCGGGAAAGGAGTGCTCGACGTTACAAACAACTGCGTTCCCGATCTTCCGTTTCAAAGACCGACAGAGGAATGTGCAGATTTCTTTGCACATCCAAGGTTCTGTCCCTTCATGGGGTCCTATACTTACATTCCATGTAAGCTTCCTCGTTTTGGTTCTTTGTATTCACCTTGACCTACTTTGTTCATCTTCTCCAAGCCTCATGGAAATAAAAAATTTCAGTGTAAACGTGGTGATTCAATCTTTTCACTCATTTCAGTGTAACATAATGCATGGTACGTACATTTAACATGAGAATTAATGAGATGTTTCCTTGATGATTTGTGATCATAAGAAATCAGTGATTGGTAAGGGGCTTCTAGCTCAATTGGTCACTCATGCACCCGAGAATTTAAGTTTGATTCCACCCTCCCCCAATATTGTTTGTATCATTAAGAAACCAATGATTGTTGTAGCTTTTCTTTTTAATCTTTTTTGGACGAATGGATAGGACAAGACACCTCTATCAGTTCTTTTTTAGCATAGCACATCTGTTCTTTATTAAATGGCAGAACATCGATTATACTATGGATAACATTGTTAGGTAACATTTTAATAGCAAAACATATTCAGGTGTTATTGATACATTATCGACATTATTGATACAAAACCATTATTTGTTAAAAGGATGGAGGTCCTACAAAGAGCATTTCTATATAACACACTTTATGAGGTTTTTCCAGTATGGATCAGAGTATGGTATATACCAGATCCTTAACCGTTGGATTCTTAGTCATTAAATTTTTTATCACACATCTAGCCATTCACTCCACTGATTCATTCAGAATTTTCACGCTTTACGACAAGTTAACAATCGTAGTTAGTGGGGGAAGGACAAATGCAAAAGAAAAGAAAGGTGCTTTTTCAACAACTATGGTCCCAAAAATTTGTCCACACAGAGAAAGAAGATGGTGCTTTGCCCCTGTCACAATCCTAGAAGAACCTGCAAGCCTTGAAGGCCTTATTAGCAATGCCACTTTTTAGGGACACCTTTTTCATGAGCCAAGTGCTTGTTAGGTGGGAAATGTCCCCTATGCCCTAGCTGAGTGAGTGAGGTAAGGCAGACGATTCAATGAACTCACCACCAATTATATGCCCCCTCTGTAATTTCGAATGTTAAAATCTGTTCACTTTTCTGAGTTTTATACTGTTAAATTACTATTTGTCTGTTAATGGAGATTTGGAGAGCTGCACTGGATTCAGCAAGTGGGAAGCAAAAGTAGTGTACCAAGTGGGAAGCAAAAATAGTGTACCAATTACATGATCTCAGCTGCTCGGCTCGTTGTACACCTCTTATCCAACTACCCGGTCACTTTGGCATATGTTTCCCGTCGAGTTTTATTTTTAAAGAACAAATGCTTCCAAGATGAAGGTTGGGATGGTGCAAATTTGGAAGTGCTTGGAAACAAATATGGAACTGAGAATCTCTTTTTGTTATCAGGTCACTAAAATGGGTAGGAGCACTACTGGAAAACGTCGTGGGGGATAAGGATGGAAAATACTCTAATGTTGCTTGGTTTACAAGATAAAGGGGCGGTGGCACTTCAAGGCTTCACATCCAAAGAGATATCATGGTGTGAAAACTTAGTCTTGAAATTTTGTGTACTTGATGAATGTGTGCTCCGGGAAAATTTATAATATTAGAAGAGGGCTGTAAGAATCAAGATAAAAAAGCCTCTTATATATAAGGCAATAATCGAGTGCAATAACAGTTAACTCTAGGTATTATTTTTCTTTATAACAAGGTTTAAGTAAATTTTCATTGTGAAAGAGAGTTTTGAGTGGAAATAATGTGAGATCAATTTTGTTAAATACGAATAGAAACGTTTACATCTTCAGCAAAATATTAAATAGGAACTCCAGGCCAAAAGCATCCCAACGGAAAATACCTCCTTGTGAGGTAACATATATATAAGACTACAGCATGAGTAACGACATTTCCTTTCTGCTCTACAAACACAAACCTCACCTCTCCTAGTTGGGACACAACGTCCACCACAGCATACTCCCCATTAAGCATTCAAACTAACAACTAAGAATTAGACTCAACGTCCACCATAGCATAACCCGTCTCTATACATACCATCAATGCCGCACGGATCGCCCCAACTTCAACCATAGCCGCGATGTTTAAAAATAAGCCTCCTTCTTCGCCTGCCAATTGCAACAGCCCTGCAAAATCCCTTATTACCCAACCATATCCTCCCTTCAAAGACTTCCCGCACCAGGCACCGTCACAGTTAACCTTTAATACCCCATGGTTGGGCCGCCTCCATTGAACATGCTGTCCAGCAAAGTGAGCATCCTCAGTTTCCTCACAAGGAGTAGCGACCTCCTGCTTTGTAGCATGGCTAGGAGTTGATGCCGCACCAAATTAACCCCTCAATAGGATTAATCACCACACCTCTTGGATTGGCTTTTAGTATATATACAAGCCTCTTGCCACAGGTATATCTTTTTTATGTCAATTTTTTTTTTGTCTTATTATTATTTTTTAATATTTTAATTTTACTTGTTTTAGTTAGAAAATAATAAAATTACTAACCATCCACAGTCCCACTACGTTTTTTGTTAATGTCTTTTATTTATTTTTTATTTTTTTAATTCTTATGAGAGGAGGATAATTATGAGATTATGAAAGCCTTACTCTTTTTGTCTTCCCCTTTTATATATGTATATACTTTTTTTTTTTTAATATAAACGGTTCGGATCGTTGAAATATATTACGGAATGGGCTCTATAAAAACTTGTGTAAAAAATTGTATAAAAAAAAATAATGTCACGGATCTGCCCCCATATATATATATACATATATATACATATATATATATATATATATTCTTAATACTTGTAAATCATCGTTCAAATTAAATAGAGAAAATATATTAGGAAAACTAATGAAAAGAGTTTGAAAGGTTTTAGTTTTAATCAAAAACTATGTTATAAGTTTTGTTTAATGATTAGTACAAGGCCCATATTAAAATAGTCCAACTAAAAATGGCCCAAGTATAATAAATTATGATTTGTCGATTTTACCCCTAACTTTTTTAGGTTGAATTCCAAATGTTTATCATTAATGGAGTTCATCATTGTTTTGTAGACCTTCTTCTTTTTCTTTGAAACAAAAATATAAATTTTCATGCTATTTAATTTATATTTTATATTATTTCGTTGAAATGTGATCGTCGTTATTTTTCATAGTGTATTCAAGGTACTGTGTTTCAATTTTTCTTCGTCAGTGGAGTTCATTGTTTGTTTCTCTAAAAAATAAATTTGAGATCTGCATGTTGTTCAATAATAACGATGGGTCACTATTTCTAGACTGTAAAAATAAACTGTTTTTGGTTTTTAAGTAACACTGTTTCTAGAATCTAAGTCACTATTTTTGGATAAACAAAACTATAGATCCTCATGCTATTTAATTTATATTTTGTATTATTTCATTAAAATGTGATTGTCGTTATTATTCATAGTGCATTCGGGATACTGTTTTTCAATTTTTCTTTGTTAGTGTGGAGTTCATCGTTTGCTTTTCCAGAAAATAAATTTGAGATATGCATACTATTTAATAATAATGACGGGTCACTATTTTTAGACTATAAAAATAAACTGTTTCTGGATCCAAATGAAATAGACACACTGTTTCTTAAATATAAGCTAGAAAAGAAATAGTGAATTCACTATGTTTGGATTCAAAGCAAAATAAGCACTCTGTTTCTTAAATATAATCAACTGATGCATGAAAAAATAGAAACAGTCAAAGGTTAAAACATAGACTGGAATTTAAGTCACTGCTTTTGGAATTTAAGTAACTATTTCTGAAATTTAAGTCACTCTTTTTGGAATTTAAGTTACTATTTCTGGATTTTGGTTCTTTTCTTTCCAGATACAGTGTTTGTTTGATCACAGACAAAACAAACACTGTATCTGATTTTTCTTCCAAAAACAATGTTATGTTTTGGGTTCTCCAGAAACAGTTTTATGTTTTGGTTCTTTTTTTTTTCCAGACACTTTTTCGCCGGTTTCTAACATTAAACTTCTTCGAACTTGTTTCGGCGGCTTTGTTCCGATGAATGCTTCATTTTTCAACTTTGATTTGAACTTTGATTTGGTTGTTTTTGAAATGAGGGAATTCGATTTGATAGGAAGACAGAGAGTTATTATGACGGTTTTGTGCTGGGTTGAAGTTGGTGGAGAGTCAGGACAATATCGAATCATTTAAGGGTATTTACGGAAATGTAGATTTGTAGCGAGTTGGGCTTGTAAGTTTGACCCGTGGACAATATTTTTGAATGATTTTTTATTAAACTTTGAACCATTTTGATTAAATAATATTTTGTGATGGTATTTGGTAAAATATTTATTGACTCAAGTCATTTTCATTAAAACTCCCAAATATATTTGGGCTGCAAAGGAAGCTCAACACGACTTGTTTATGACATGTAGTAACTAGGCCCAAAGTTTTGGTGATTTTAAGCTTAGGCTGACAGCGGTCCAGATAAGAGAAGAAAGAAACAGTAATGTGTTTTGCATACAAATCAAAGCAGAGTGCAATGCATCGCTCTTTAAATAGAGAGATTTTTTAGTGTAATCGATATACTAGATAATACCTTAAATGTTATTATATAAATTATGGGATATGTATGCTTAAAAATTAATAACTTAAAAAATAAAAAATTTCCTATCATTTTTATTAAAACACGTTGTACATTATTTACGTTCCCGTCACAATTAAAAATTTCCCCTTTAAATAACATTGCCTATTGGACAAAAAGCACGGTGATAGACTACTAGGGGGCGTTTGTTTGACCGAATTAAGGGGGACTGGACTAGACTAGACTGTAGTCCCTTGTTTGGTCTGGACAAGGATTAGGTTTAATGGGACTAAAGGGGACTCGCCCCGACTGAACGTTTCGCTAAACGTTCTTAAGGAGACCCCTCGATTTCAAGGGGACTACTAGTCCCGTTCTCTCCCCCGCCACTGATCCCTCGTCGTCTCCCTTCTCCTTCGCCCTCTTCCTTCTGATCCGCACCTTTGCCCACTCCCTTAGGCCTTCACTATGCCACCCAAACGCCTAAACCCAGACCTTAAACAAAACTGAAAAACAATCCATTGATTCCCTTCCTTTCTTCTTCGTTCAAGTCGGGACCGAAAGCGTACCAAATGCTCAAGCACCTGCAAATCCCCACATAAATTCAAAACAAAAAGGCAAAATCACCAGAGAATCCTGAGATTTTTCGAGAAAATCAGGAGGCGCTGCGTGGAGAGCTCCGATGAATCCTCCATGCGAATCTTCTGCATAAGGAAAAGAGGGAGAGGTTAGGGATAAAGTGGACGA